CTTCTCCGGCAGTATGAATACCACCTTAACCCCATCATCCCCACAGTACATTTCTGTAGCTTTCTGAATGTTAAAAACTGTCTAATGCCCAGGTGTCCTTTGGTGGAACTGGTGGTGCCTTGTGGCTGGTCGTTGTTCTGAAGAAGAATACACGACGAAAGAACGCTTGCTGGCGGCTATGTCTAGAAACTACTGACGACTGATGGCATGCGCTTCCCTGTGAAGCTGGCGTAAAAACGATCAACAAAGAATGGTATGGACCTCGCGGGTGAGTCTGTTCCAAGTGAATAGAAACAAACGTCATGTGTTTGCCTGCGAAGCCCAATCCAAAAGATTTCACCAAACAGGTCAATGTTTTTAGTTCCATACGACCTGGTCTGTATACTTGGTCTGGGGAACATAAATATTGCCTCAATTCCCTCTTTAAAACATCACACCTAAAGTCACATCTGTTTATCGGGCACTAAAAGATACGCATATAATGGACATGGAATTGGACGTGTTTGTCTAAAACATTGGAAATTTTCAACCAATGTGCGTGCGTGCGGAGGTAGTCTAAAAATATCAACATCAACCAACTATATGATTAGTAGTAAGCTAGAGACTGTGTCCGTCCGGAATCCTACGATGACATCGGGTATGTGTTCGCCAGGAATTGGACCGAAAATATGCGTCAAAGAAACAACATGTGCGTGTTGTGCTCGCCTGCAGCTAAAGCTCCCTCTCGTACCATAAATGCCTCTTCGGGGCCCTCTTTGGCACAAATCACTTGATCCCAAGTATAATTGCTGGGAACTAAAAGGATCGAGAGACAGCGCCATGATGGAGTTGGGCGTGGGCAGCAGGGAATTAGTCCAAAAAGTTGATATCGAAAGTAGTATGCTTACTAGAATCTGGGTTCTTCAGATTCTCGAGCAGCAAAAACCAGAACGGTGTCAGGAAATGGAGCTGAGTGTGACGGGCGAAGGACAAATGCGTTAAGACTGTCAAGTTGTGGTGGCCGGCGAAGCTGGTCCAAAGGCTATGTAAAAAGAATAGATGTGTTTGCTGGAGACTGAGCCCGTGTCCAAACACTTTCTCCGAGGAACATACCCATCGCCCTTAATTCAAACCTTCTTTTGAGCATAACGATTTTTCGGCTTGCTGGGGAGGAAAACGCATCGTCGGTAGCTGATGGTCATGAGTGTGGCGGGAGCGGGGCCTCGATTCAAAAACTAGGACAGCATTGTCATATGTAGTGGGTGGGAAGGTGGTGCTGGGTGGATCGGCGAAGCTGGGGCCTAGAAGTACGCAAATATCGGCATGATGGACTTGGTTGAAAGCTACATGCAATGCTACAAAAAGTATGTGCTTTGTTGGGTCTGTCCACTGAATGCGGATGGTATAAATACTGCATCAATTCCCTCGTTGATAGTGCACACTTTTTCTGTCCTTGTCGCTAAAAGTGCTTCTGCCAGCAGATCATGTGGTGATCCAAAAATGCCACTGATGGATATCATGGGATTTGGGCACGGTTTTGGTCCAAAAGCCTTGACCGCCAGATGCAATGTGTCAGACGGGCTGATCGAGCTCTACCCGTCCACCGACTGCACAAACTGGGAGAGATACCTGAATCCTTCGCTATTGGGGTACGTAGCTTGGACGCGTACTTGGTTTGCAAACTCAAAAAATTGCGCGCCACGTGCTTGCTGTATCTGCAAAAGAAAATGACGAATGACGAAGACGATGCGCTTGATGGGTGGTTGGAAAATGAATGTTGTGCACAATGTTCGTATCTACTCTCCTGGGTGTATAAATACCCCGTCCGTTCTTTTCCTATGAGCTACACTTCTACTCCTGATTTCTCTCAAAAACGAGCACCCAAATCTCCATGGGAGCTCTAAGTGACTGTGAGCCGCCATTTGGTCTAAAACACACATACAGCACATGTGGTCGGTCGTAGCTATTCCAAAATCTGGTTCTCAAGGATTTATGTGCTCGGTGCACCTCAAAACTAAAGACGATTTCATGCCGCTCTATGCGTTTGCGCATGGTGGTTCCCAACAGGTCATCATGGAACCCTATGATCTTAAACCTCGGAGGGTGAAAATACATATTAGAGCTAAAGTTATAGAGCACATTCCTTCCGCTTTAGACACCAGATATTGGGCTCCCATCAGAACATGGCGTGTTCAGTGAACAATGTTGCACGATGTCGATGGGAAGCTGATTTGCACATCACACACCATGCCTATGGCCACCAAAGGTAGTTTTAAAAAGGACGCGCAAAGGTTATGCTTCAAAGTCTCGACAGGGAGATTTTAGATTCTTCATCTGACTCCTTTTTGATAGAGCACAACTCTCATGTGCAGCGGGAAGTAAAAGGTTTCTCATATCTGTAATATGTTGCACCCAAGACTTGCTGCGTTACGAACTCTAAGAGGCATCCGTGCTACCTCGAAGGCTTAATCAAGAGCTACAGGCACGCCTCCAGGTGCTAGCCTCCAGAGCCTAACACCAAATGACTCAGAAAGGCCCGAAATGTGCTTGGCTAGAAGCTTTATCTAGATATTCTTTACTATGAGATGATAAGACCATGTTAGGTCGGAAATCCATAGCTTCCGCTGTAGCTTTAGGAAAACATAACCGTTCCCAAGATACCATTTCTTATGCCACACTTTTCTTGCTCGGGGGACTTGAAATAACATTGAGTTCGGATGCATGGGGTGTTCTAAAACACCTAGTCCTGGAATGCATGGAATCCGCTGCGTGTTGGTTGTGATCAAACCCACGCCCAAAGATGCCGTAGTGGCGAAGAAATCTGGGGCCGTACATCACATCGACTCCATGCCCTATGTTTTCAGGTTTCTAGAGAGCATTTCGAGCAACGCCTTCCATGTGGGCAGTCCTCGTTTCAATTGAACTCAACTTGGGTCGATATGCAGATATCCAGGCCCGCCAATTGGGGAAAATACCTATCAAAACAAGGCGCAAGTAGTTAAATCTTTACTTTGAATGCAGGATGACTTCATATTCAAATTTGTACCTCTTAGCCAAAGAATGGATACATTCTCCCCAAGTTCAGGCATGTCTGTTCACCTGGACCCATTTCGTGCATGCACCACAGGTAAACACCAAAGTCAGCCCCACAATTATACCAGAAGTCTTTCCACGACATGGGTTCGTGGGAAAGCTTCCCCCAGATTTCGTACCAACTGTCCAATACGTAAAAAGACAGTCCCGGTGGAAAAGCCACCACAAATTCACTGCACCTGTTGTCTCAAGATAAGTAAAACCATCCACGTGACCACCCAAAGACTAATTGTGGCTTACAGAGCATTTGTTGTTCTCATATAGCTCCCGGCGCTTTCTGTCCTCCTCTAGTTGAGCTTCACGTACCCTCATGCTTGGGAATGTGTTCGGGTCAACGCATATATCGCAGACGTATGGGCACTCGACAGCTTGGTGGCCAATCGAAAGGCATAGCTGGCAAACTTCTTTGCCTAGGTATCGATTGGCGAGTTCGCGCCAGAAGCGCTTGTGTATGTCCGCTGAGGTCCCGAGCTGCGCCGTGGAGTTTGGCATGTTGAGTTGGTACAGCTGAAGCGAGTGGAACTGATATTGGTATAATGGTTGTTCGATTATACGATCCAAGTCCAAAGTGAGGAGTAAGAGTAATGGAGTGTTTGGGTGCAGTGGAACGCCTATATAGACTAGTGCGCACGTAGGGAGCACCTGTCAATTTCCCCAGGGCGCCTTCCGCCAACAGGGGTGAGAGTGATGTAAGATGCCGGCGAGAACTCGTTTGGGCCTGCCAACTACTCTGTTTGTCCTGAATCCGAAGCAGTCGCACTCTATGTCAACATAGTTCCTACCGAGCAAGATTGCAGTCCAGCGGTCTATGGCTTGTGACCGACAAACGGATAGAAGATGACCAACCATAGCGGCTAGACCTTACAGGTGAGATACAGCAATGCTCCCTCTTATATCGTATGATTAGCATTCACAAATCCTTCTGAAGATAAACCGAGAGATAACTCACCGAGCATAAACAATGTAACGTAAGAGGCGCAACCGTAGTCGCCATTTTTCACTGTGCCCTTATCCGCAGTCTGCTCCGCTTGTTCGTTAACTTCATATTCTTTCTCTTCCGTTCGATGATGTGCCTCCTTGTTCAGTTTCTCTTTCCTGTCAATCAAATGTTTCTGCATCTCAACCGGTCTTCGATGCGCTCTAGTCGAGCATGGCTCTGCAATCTGAGTAAGTTCCGCGGCGGCGGCATGCATAATGTCTTGCTGGAAACCAATGTGTTTGATTAACTGTGAGCACTCAATAGCTATGTGTCCATTGAGAAGACACAGCTGGCATACGTCGTGTTCGGGCACACACGCAGTGTTTCTGGCGGCGCGATGACGGTAGCCGCGTCGATGCTCTTTGATTGATTGGTGGTACTGATCAAAGTCGAACACTCCTGCCATTGCGAAGTTACTCAATAGAGAAAGCCGGACGATTGCACCAGAATAGGTGCGGGGATTTTAAAGTGGTCGGGTAATTGTTTCAGTGCTTGTGGTACCTATATGCCCAAACTAAAGCTGATGATCATATGAGCGACTTTTGTAACCATGTTTGAATACCGATCAGGCTTGACACAGAACATCAGGGAAATAAGCAATCAATATCAGGTCTTAGGTCTTAGGTCTTAGGTCTCAGGTCTCGTGCGCAAGACCAAATGTAACGCATGTCTATCACAGTGACGAGATATTGTGAACACCGCGAGGATATAGGAAAGTTTATCACTCTGAACTTCGAAAAGGTGGACAAGGAGCTTCGGGGATGGTTGTATAGCAAGTGATGTATTACGTACTGGATGGACTGCCAGAGTTTCGTAGCCACTAAGGGAACCGAGAACACAGCGCAAGCGAACGTAGTGCAAAAATATAGCCAATCAATTGCCAGTCTTAATCCCTGCACTCATCAGGGCCTGCTAAAGCCTGCATAGAGCCAAAAACTCAAAAATAGTGCGACGCCTGCAGGATTCGAACCTGCGCTCCCGAAGGAAATTGATAGCACACGAAGGCAATGAAGGCCCTCGTTTCGAGTCAATCACGTTAACCACTCCGTCAAAGCGCCTTGTTGCTGTTGTTTCATGTTTCGATGACATAATGAAAAATCTGGGATATATATAGTCCTACAAACCGAGTTATAGCGGTGCTATGCCGTGTTGATCAAAGAACCACCCTTGACCTCGATTGGGGATGAGTACGCTCCGTGGTGTGGGTCACAATGCAGGATTTTCGGGCTGGCCTCCGGGTCGCTAGCTTCGCCTATCACCCCACGGTCTCACCAGCTCAACACCGTGAGCTTTGATCGTGATTGGTCAAGCTACACGGCGGGAACACACGAAACACCTAATCGTGGAATGTGTTCTACATATCTTGTTCGAAGTCTGAACCGCCTACTACTACAATGCATAGGTAGGAGGGGCAAGTAGGTGATATCGTGACCCCGGCATCTGGTATGCGCTCTGCAACGCTGGAAAGCATCTCTCTCTACTACCCAGATCGGAACGGAGTATCGTTTTTGATGTACTTTATCTTCTAGTATACTGCAGGGTCACTGCTGCACAGCTTGCGCGCCGGACGTTACAAAAGTCTGAGTACAGTGTGTTACCCCAGGGCAGGCAACACGCAGGTCGATTTTACTCTCTTGGTACTGTACTTACCCTTCCTACCACAGTGGTAGCTCAACAAACACATTTTTACGGTAAATGACCTCGTTCATAGTTGAACATGCCTAAAAGTTCTAGATGGTTCACATTACAGATAAGCTGATCTCTGTACGACTACTACTACTGCGCACGATCACCGCACCCTTTCATCATCAATTCGACCGCGATGCAACTGATGAGCTGCGTCTCGAAGGCGAAGAATCATACTCACGCTCAGACTCTTCGTACTCGCGCTTGTCACGGTGATCTCTGTGCCTGCTTCTCTCGCGGCTCCTAGACCGTTTGTCATCCTTCCTGCGGTCCTTGTCCTTGTCTTTGCTTTTGCTGCTCTCATGCCTACCGTGATCCTTGCTTTTGCTTCTGCGCCTATCATGCTCCCCATGCCTGTCGCTGTGTTTGTCGTGGCTGCTACTCGCGCGCGTATCTTTGCTCCTGTGCCTCCCATGGCCCCTATCTCTGCTCTTGCTCCTATGTCTGTCTTGGCCTCGATCCCTGCTCCTACTCCTATGCCTATCACCTCCCCTTTCCCTGCTCCTCCTCCTCTTCCCCTTCTCCTCATCGCTACTCTCCCCCCTTTCCTTAATCATCCTCCTCCCACTCTTCTTCTTCCCCCGCTTACCTCCATCCTCACTATCACTCGCAGCCTCTTCAACTACAGGCCCGCTCCCGTCACGCGTCGTCGTCTTCGTTTCAGCCAAATACGTACGACCCCCCTGATGCACCCACGTCCTCGTCTCCGTCTCATGAATAGCAGGCGGCTGAAAAACATGCTCCTCGACAACAGTCCGATGTCTCTCTTGCGGCAGGACATTCTGCACCACATGCGTGGTCGTAGAACTCCTCCTTGCACCTATGATACCCACTATTCCTACCGATGTCACCGTACCCATATCATTAATCAAATAAAAAATGCGATGCATCGTCTCCATGACTCGGCCATGCGACTTGGGCCCGCGCGCAGCCTCGCACCGTGGGTTCGGACAGTGAAAGTTGACACAGTCAGTGATCTCGTTGCTCATTTGCCTGAGACGATTACGGCCCAATTTCCACAGTTCGTCCCGGTCGATGGGATGTCTGTAGTCGCAGAGAGTCCGAAAGACGCCGAAGTTGGCATTGGCATCACGAACCCATTCGTGGTGAATGAAATATTGGCGATATGGGCTGCTCGGCATAGGGGAGGATGTTTTGGTTGTTTTATTGGATGGTTTCGTGAGATACTTCTCGGTGTAGTAGAAGCGCAAGAGTTAAGTAGGTTGTTTAGTTGTAGAGGAAAAAAAGGATGGGGTTGGGGTGCTTTATCTAACGGCTGCGCACCCTGTCTCTGACGCCGCATTCACACGCGCGCATTTCTGTCCATTGCAGATGGCGGAGAACATTGAAGAGGGTAATCTTGTCACGCCTGAATTCAATGAACCTGCACTGTGTAGACTTCATACACATTTGAATCTCCCCATGGAACAGCGCGCCACGACATGATAATGCGAAAAGGATATTTACAGTCGGGCACGATCGACCCTTGAATTGCCTATCCTGGGGTAACACGGTACTATATGTAAATGCAAAGGGTATACTTTTCCAAACCAACACCACGAGCTAGAAGATACATTTCGACAATCCGTATGCCAATGTCGGCCTCCTGGGTCAACCCAGGGAATTCAGCCCGGCTTCGTCCGTAGACAAGAGTAGGCACGTCTAGGTCGATTCTGACGGGGATCCCATTTCGGTTTCGGACTCAGACTCGGGCTCAGACTTGGACGCGGCTTTTCCTTCTTGAACCTAAATAATCATCAACAAAGGGTAACAAATTGATGGAATCAATCTGAAACCTCTCCGTGATTTGTAGCTTTCGGGATGGGCTCGACCAGCTTGCGGCTTGGGCGGAAGATCTGCATCTGGTTGTCCTCGGCAGTACCGAGCATGAGCCAGGGGTCGTTTTTGTTCCAGTCGAAGCCGGAGATGCGGTCTGTGAAGCCGCCGTGCATGAAGAGGCTATGTAACGTCAGCAGGGTACATTCACGAACAACAAACAGAGAACATACAGCTCTGGCGGGCCATCCTCAGCCTCGTCTGGCGTCTGCTCCTCACCCACTCTCGTGACATCCCACATGCAGATACGACGGTCGTAGCTCGAGCTGGCCAGTATGGCGGGGTCTTGAGGATGCCATTGCAGCTCGATGATGTCTCCTGTGTGGTGCTGAAGGCTGTGCAGCTTCTTGTCGAAATTGCGCAGGTCCCAAAGACCTATGGTACCATCCGCGGAGCCGGTTGCGAGGATACTCTCGTACTCGGGATGGAAGGCAATGCTATTGAGTGCGTCTGCATGCGCGTTCTCTTTGCTGTATAGAGCGATCTTGTGCGACTGCACTCGAGTATCGGTGACCTTCCATGTGCGGTCGTCCGACACGCTACCAATGAGGAAGCCGTGGATGGGGTGATATTGCACGTCGTTGACAACGGAGGTGTGCGTCGTGTACGTGGTCACAGGAGCAATGGACGTGTTTCCCTTGGAGAAGCCGCTCTTAATATCCCAGGTTCTGACAGTCATGTCTTCGCTTCCGGTGACGAGATGTCCTTCCTTCAGAGGGCTCCAGGAAAGCCCGAAACCCTCATTCTCGTGGCCAACGAGCTCTGCCTCGAACTTGATGCTGCCGTCGCTCTTTGGGTCCATAGGATGCTTGGTGCGGTCGAACACAAGGACTCTGCCGTCAACGCACAGCGAGGCGATGATCTCGGGGTTCTGGGGCTGGTAGCGTGCCTTGTTGACCTCGCCAGGGTGGTTGATCTTCTGGACAACATTGAAGTCAAAGGGCTTCTTTGCGTCGCCGTAGCCGCCAACCTCGCCCGTCTTCTCGTCAAAGTTGTTGGGGTCTGGCGTCGGCATGTCCGGGACCTCGATGTGGGCGATCTGGAGGTAGTTCTGGGCCTGTCCAGACGTGTGCGTGCCGAGGATGACGCGGTGGGTGCTCAGGTTGGTGCCCTCGACCGGGCGCTTGTCTGGCAGCCATTGCGCCGTCAGCGTCGGCCACTCGAGGGCGCGGCTGTAGAGCATGTCGTAGAGGAAGACGCTATTCTTTTTCCACATCTTGTACTCCTCGTTGATCTGCTTCTGCCGCTGGATCTGCTCGTCGTCAGGGCCCTGCGCGTCGGGCGCGTCTGCATAGCTATTAGCAGGCGCTCGCAAACACTGCACATGCGCCACGCACCGCTCATGTTGTCATCCATCGCACAACAGTATACTGCTTGCAAGAATGTGTGTGGAGGAGACGAGGAAAGCTGCGCAAAAAGCCTCTGGGAAGTGGTGGGTGAACGAAAGTGGAGAAGAGCTCAACGCGTAGGCGCGTACAGAGTGGATCGGCTAGCGGCGATTGATCGAATGCCCGCCGCCACTAGCCAGCGCTTGGCGTTTGGTTCATATACGCGACGCCCACTGCCTCTCCCCGACTCTTTGAAGACCCCAGCGTCGTGAATCTATCCCCTTACGTCCCTGTCGCTCAGAAGCAAGCGCTGTTTGCGCGCTTCACCCCCCTCTTCCTGTGTGCCTTTTCCATCAATCGCGACACCCCGATCGCCCTGCGACTCCACCACTCCACCGCCACCACACTCAGTCATCTTCCACTAGAAACATATAACAGCCATGGGTGTCCCAAAGTTCTTCAGATGGATGTCGGAGCGCTACCCCGCGATTTCCCAGCTCATTGCTGAAAATCGCATCCCGGAGTTCGACTGTCTCTACGTAAGTGCCTGCAGCGCATCGCCACGGATGCCCCCCCACTGACCTCGTCGCCATAGCTCGACATGAACGGTATCATTCACAATTGCACACACAATGACTCCGACGGCCCGACGGCCCGCATGACCGAGGAGAAGATGTTCATCGCCATCTTCAACTACATCGAGCATTTGTTTGGCAAGATCAAGCCCAAGCAGCTCTTCTTCATGGCCATCGACGGTGTCGCCCCGCGCGCCAAGATGAACCAGCAGCGCGCCCGCCGCTTCCGAACCGCTCTCGACGCTGAGAAGGCCCGTGAAAAGGCCATCCGTGAAGGCGTCGAGATGCCCAAGGAAGCGCCCTTCGACAGCAACTGCATCACGCCTGGCACCGAGTTCATGGCCAAGCTGACGCAGCAGCTGAAGTATTTCATCAACAAGAAGGTCTCTGAGGACCTGGACTGGCAGGGCGTGGAAATCGTCTTGTCCGGCCACGAGGTCCCTGGAGAAGGAGAGCACAAGGTCATGGAGTACATCCGCCAGGCCAAGGCTCAGCCCAATTACGACCCGAACCGTCGTCACTGCCTGTACGGCTTAGATGCTGATCTTATCATGTTGGGTCTGCTCAGCCACGATCCGCATTTCTGTCTACTTCGTGAAGAAGTCACCTTTGGTCGCCAGAACCAAAAGAAGT